TATAATATGCAATACTAAATCCAAATACAGTATGCACATACTTTACAATAATTTAATGAAACATATTCTGATTTCCTTTGTATGATGTTCAGTCAAGAGCCTGCTAAGAACACCATAAATTCATTCCCATTGACACTGTAGGTGGAAAAAGAGATATTTTTTTTATCACCATTTTTTATCACCGTTTTTCCAAATTTACACAAGATTTGCTTTGCAATTTTTTTAAAATCACTTATATAAGAAGTGTGATTGCTGAAAGGTGTTTTTATCATATCCTAACCTGATGCAGCAGATATACTCAAGGGAAAAGTCACAAGGCACAAAATAAAAGAATATTTAGAATTCAGTTGAGTTATATTCCATTAATCATACATGGCATAACCACAAAATTTCCACAAAGCTTGATCTTAAATGGCATTATTCAGAGCAAAACAAAAAAAATCAGAATATTCTTCCAGGAAATTAGTTTAATGTTAGTGAAATCCTGCAGTCCTTTGACATCAGAGGAAGATGTCTGTTTTCAGAAAATGGAATCCAAAGTTTTGCCCTAGCAAAAGCTTCAGGAAATAAATGCATAAACCAAGACATTTCAGATTAAATTCTCAGATAATTATATCGCAAATTGCTAATTTAGACTGACTCTGAACATTTTAGATCAGTGTTTTTCAAATTTAGCGACTTTAAGATCTGCAGACTTCTGCTTCCAGAATTCTACCCAAACATCTTAAAGTTGCCAAGTTTGAAAACTTGATCTCCTCCTAAACAAGATGCTTCCCTGAGTGCTATTCAGTGGAACTCAATGGGAACGGATTGTTCAGAGCAGGGCATCCTATATAATTTTGGGATAAAGATAAGAAGTTATGGAAAGATGCATTCCTTCATAAGTTCTGAAGTTCTTCATAAGATAAGATAAGATAACCTTTATTGTCATTTTTATACTGTGGGCACAATGGCACACATCAAAAATGAAATTTAGTTGCCCACTCATACCAACACCCTGAACTATAGCTGAATCTAATTTAGTCTTCCATCTACTACTTTACTTTGTTTCTCCAGTATAGCATGAGTCTAAAGCCTGAAGTCTAAATCAGTCATGCAGCAATCTGTCCTGCAAGACATCACTCCAATATGATGTGATCCCAGCTGTTCTGAGACTGTTGCCTTCAAACTCTCTCCTGTCTCTAGGACTCTGCAGTGGGCTGTGAGACTAACCTTGGCAGACAGGAGGAAAAGCTACAGACTAGATAATAGTCTGATAAGAGAAATCTAGTCTCACAAGTCTGATAAGAGAAATCTAGTCTCACAAAGCAAGGGCTTCCAGACTTATAAGATTGATATAAGCTCTTCAAGGTAGGGTTATAGTAAGGCGACAGTAACAGAATCTTACAAGTTTTGCAACCCCGTCCCCTGCCTTTACTTTCCATCAGGGGAGGCTTCAGAGATGTTTTCTCTACCCCATCCCTCCTTTGGATTAATATTTTATTTTATAATATAAATTTGGGTTTGATTCATTTAGTTAAAATTCTGTTAATATGGTTAAATTTTGTTTACATAATTTACATAACATTGCACCCTCTCTATATACATTGTACACACATAAAGACATAATCATTATAATTATTGTAAATACACATCACACTAGGCTTGTACAGTAATAAACATCAATGTAATTCACTTTTAGCTATATGCATGTGTCTAGCTTCATTCCTAGCCAAAATTATCTTCTGTGCTGAAATTCTAATAACCTCTCTCTCTCTCTCTCTCTCTCTCTCTCTCTCTCTGTGTGTGTGTGTGTGTGTGTGTGTGTGTGCAAGACACAACTCTTTATAACTGATACTTCCACTTACAGGCTATATGAGCCATGGTGGTGCAGTGGTTGGAATGCAGTATTGCAGGCTACTTCTGCTGACTGCCAACTGCCAGAATTTAAGCAGTTCGATTCTCATTGGTTCAAGATTGAGTCAGCCTTCCATCTTTCCAAGGTCGATAAAATGAGGACCCAGATTGTTGGGGGCAATATATTGACTCTGTAAAATGCTTAAAGAGGGCTGTAAAGCACTGTGAAGTGCTATGTAAGTCTAAATGCTATTGTTATACCTGTAAAGAAAACCACACTTTTAATCATGAATTTCCTGCCTAATTGATCATACTCAGAAATGAATAAAGAAACAGTCTATGAAATAACTTATACCTAATGCAGGTGGAAGAAAATTCATATACAGTCAAGCTTCTTGTGTATCAATGTAGGTATAGATTAAATAAGCTGAAAACCAAGGCACATGGATAGAGAAAAAGCTAAAGATAAGGTTCATGTCCAAATTCCTCCATATTTGCTAATAGGTTATCAGCATCTTTTATTTCCTCCAAAGTCTACAGAGCTTTCCAGAGACCCCTCCTTTCTGGCTCTGATTGATTCATTTGTTCTTTGCCTCCAGTGGATTCTCCTGAAGAAGTGGACCTATCCAAATTTGGGCTATCAAGGTTGGTTCAAAAGAACCTTCATTACTATGTGACTATAATGTTTTACCAGGAGGAGAACAGTTCGGGCAAATTCATTTTTATTATTATTGTGTTTTGTTTACATCCTTCAGATTTCTAGTTTTATCTTTCTAACTTTCCTCCCACAGCATAGATCAAGTTTTTTCAAGTACCTTCCTAACAAATTTAATATTACAATTTTTGCAAGGATAAAGTATTGTACACAAAATATCAGGAGGGGAAAGCGATTCTGGTTGTAGGTTCACCAAGTTGCTACTATTGTTGCAACATTAAGCTTACTATAATGATATTGCTATAATATTACATTTCAATATCAAGTAAAGATCTATTCTTATGCCCCTGTGGATTCCTTACGGACAGCTAATATTTTCCAGACTTTTTTATTTAGGAATACCAGTGAGATCAGAACACATGTCATTTTTATACATAAGTAACTCAAATATATAGGAACAGTGCTGATTATTTATTTAAACATAGAAGCTTCTAGTTTTCTCACCCTTTCAACTATTTTCATGTAAGCTTTGTAGCCTGTGATCTGTTGTGAGGAATTCATGTTTGCCAAAAGAAGCAAGAACTGTTGTGTATAAGAGTGTGCTTCTTCCTGTTTTGCTAAATGGATATGGCATGTCAAGAGAAAAATAACCACTGAATGCAGTGAGAATCCTTTACTTAAGATGCATGCATGGTAAAACAAACAGATATAGGGTCAAGAATGAGTGGTTTCTGAACAGATGTGGATTGAATACAAAAGTGAATGATACTACAACAGAAGTATATTGGGGCAGTGTTAACATACCGCGAGAATGGTTGAAGATAGAATTGCAAAATGAATATATGGAAGGAAAGAGTGAATGGGTCAAGAAGAAGAAAGTGAGTTGATGAGATCTTGAAAAAGAATGAGATGAGAAGTTTTAAGAACTAAAGACAATGTATGAAGCAGCACGCATATGTTTAGAGAAAGGTATCGTGTTTCCCCAAAAGCAAGACCTACTCCAAAAATAAGTCCTAGCTTGATTTTGGGGGGTGGGACTAATATAAGCCGTACCCCCAAAATAAGCCCTAATTTTGGGGCAATGCTTAAAAATCATGCTAGGGTGGGGGTGGAGCTGCACCCCACACCCATTTACCATTGCAGCCAGGCCTTCCACGAATCGACACCTACTTTGTCTCACTGGCCCACTTCTGCAGCAGCATTTTGCCGTCAGAGGCCTTTCCGGAAGACCTCTGACGGCAAAATGGAGGCCGGGGATGACACATGTGAGCGGCTGCAGAAGAAGTGGGCCAGCTGGGTGGGGCTGTCAGTGCCGCAGCTGCGAGGTGAGACCATGGAAAAGATACCCCGCAAAAATAAGACCTGGTGCCTCTTTTGGAGGCAAAAAAAAAAAGACCAGGTCTTATTTTGGGGAAAACATGCAGTGGTGGGATTCAGCCAGTTCGCACCACTTCGGCAGAACCGGTAGCTAATTTTTTGTTGCCCAGGCCCAAAATGGACTTCCAGAAGTGGCATCCACACATAAGAGAACCGGTTGTTCACATATTTTAATCCCACCAGTGGAAACACGGTATGAAAAAAACCCTGAAAAGTATTGGATTAAACTAGTTTTGACTATTTTTTTTCTTGTTTTTGTGCTTTTAATTTCTTAATATTCCATACAAAAGAGCCATGGTGACACAGTGGTTAAAATGCAGTATTGCAGGCTAATTCTGCCAACTGCCAGCAGTTCGATTCTGACCAGCTCAGGGTTGACTCAGCCTTCCATCCTTCCAAGGTCAGTAAAATGAGGAGCCAACTTGTTGGCAGCAATATGCTGATTCTGTAAACTGCTTAGAGAGGGCTGTAAAGCACCATGAAGTGGTATATAAATCTAAGTGCTATTGCTATTGCTACTCCTTTCCAATTGTCTGCATAACATACTTTACTTTAAAAAGAAATACAAGGATGAGTATATATTTGTATGACAAGCAGGCAGCAGGCCTTTAATTTTTCAGTCAGAAGGCTGTGGGTAAAAAACTGTATCTCTTCAGATGTCATTTAAGCTACAACCTTGAGCATCCATCACCATTATCAATGCTGGTTGAAGGTACTGAGAATTAAAGTTCATCCAAATCTTACATCACCCACCATTGTTCTACAATACTGTTTCCCAACCTTAATAACTTTAAGACATGTAGATTCCAACTCCCCACAGCTGGGTGGCAAATTCTGGGAGTTGAAGTCCACCTACCTTGGACCAAGATTAAGTCCAACCCAGTCACAGAGAAAGGTTTTTGGGACAATGAATGCTCCATGTTCATGTCTACAAAGTGGGTAAAAATATTTTCAACATTCATCCCACTCTCTGCTGAAATTATTTAGGATTCTTTTTATGTAAAATATTTGTATAACATATTTTATTTTAAAAATCCGACCTGATTCAATGTGGCATTGGCATGGTCTGCAAAAACATTGACCCAGACTTTACACAGATGAAATTTCCAGAAAACCTATATTTTATACTTACCTTCGGAAGCTACCAGTTAATGTTACAATAGCATTAGGTAAAATTTTCCACACTGTATCTTGAACGATCCAAGTTGCCGCATCTGCTTCAGCTTTAGATACAGAGCTAATAAGGTCGTCATAGTACAGGAACCCTGAAAAATGATTCTTAGATTATACATCTTGTATCACTGTACATTTCAAAGTACTGATTTTCACTTTTAAATACCTTAATATCAGAGGGCCAGGACTGCCTCTCCCCTAGGATAACTGCCTGTTCCATGCAATCTGATAGTATAGGTATACTCTAAATCCCTTCCCCTATGTGTTACCATCTAGTGGGACCTAGACAGTATGCCTCTTCTGGTGGGCCCTACCCTTTGGAACATCTCCCTAAGATCCCAAATGCCCCCACCCTCATAGTCTTCCAAAAAGTCTTGAATACATGGCTTGTCCCACAAGCACTGGGGTAGTTAGTTTGTGAATTTGTGGAACTATGTGGAAGTACCAGGAGCTTCCCTGTTGGCTTTTATGCTTTTTATTATTTTGTTGCTGTTTATAAGTAACCCAAGATTATGTTGCCTAAGATGGGGAAATATACACAGCTTATAAAGAAAATAAATAAATGATGAAGTTGTCCAGGGCAGTGTTTCTCAACCTGAGCAGAAGTATAGGTTACTTATCCATTGCCATGTAGCTAAATATTATCTATTTCACAAGGAAGAAATTATGATTAAAAGAAGCTGTAAGAATGCATTAATGCTAATAAGTAGCATTAATGTGTTACATTTGACACACAATTATATAATTAAGGCTCTGCCATCCATCTCAAGTTGGGACCTTCCAATATCTTGGCATTTGTCCATTCCTATAATAATTAAACTGAACCTGGATGAGAATTTGATTTTCAGTTATCAAAAATAGCCAAATATTTTACTAAGGCTCCTATTAGTTTCTACTTATGTAAAAATCATGCATGTCCCCTATTTTAGGATGAGTTCCATAAAATGCCTCCAAGAAGTTCTTTCTCTGGCTACTCCAGAAACTACTGGCATTCTACTATTAAGCTAGAGAAACACACTTAATTTAAGCTAAGCCAAATTCAAACTTGCTAGCTAATTTAGATGTCAAGAACTTCCATGGATTTTCTTCTCTGTGTGTGTGTGTGTGTGTGTGTCTGTGTCTGTGTTTGTCTGTGTGTCGGTATGTCTGTGTGTGTGGTAAATACAGGGAGAGGGAAGAGATCTAGCCTTCTCTCATTCCCTGTTTTTCTAAACAGAATTTAACAAGTGTTTTGCACAAACCAGAGTGAACTTGATAATACTTCTTTAATAGGTTAATCAATTAACCAAAAATCAGTTAGTGGATGAATCCACCTTTTAATTTGAGTGATAAAATATCTGGTCAGTTCTAACAAAACAAAACAAAACATTATGCACAAACCACTAAAATATCTCTATTAGAATAGAAAGGAGGAAGACTCAAATTGCACTGTTGCATCTGCCACATTGAGTTTTTTTTAGTCCTCCCCTGGCTTCAAAATTGCTCTAGGATGGGTTTGTCTATCTATGAAACAATAGTGAATACTATTTAATTTATTCAGACATGAAGATGCTTTAGATTAGAGCAAGAATATCAAACCTTGGCAACTTTAAGAACTGTGGACTTCAACTTCCAGAATCTCCCAGCCAGCTATGCTGGTTGGAAAATTCTGGGAGTTGAAGTCTACAAATCTCAAAGTTGCCACACTTGGACACCCCTGCCTTAGAATAAGAAAAGGTACAAGGAAAATAGATGTCCTGATAGATCCATGAGTGATTGATGACTGGTCAACAAGGAATGCCAGCTTCTAATTGGCTAGCATTAGTTAAAAAGTTCTCTCCCATCTCTAAGTCAACTTTTAAGATTGAGAGAAATCTCAATGTTGTATAAAAGGACTTGTAAGCATTAGTTCAGCCAGTTTCTTAATACTCCAGCTGAGGGACCTTGGTTCTAAGAAGAAAATAAGTGATTCCCACGAGCAGAGATTTCTATTTAAATTGATTGACTTAATTCTTGTCTTATTCTTTGTTCGTCTCATCTGTCCAATGTTTCTCTGAATATGAAAGGGGGAAAAGGAAGAAGAAAACTAAACACGCACACCACTGTTTTGTACATAAATGATTTAGACATAATATAGGCCAACTCTGCTCATTTAATTTCCAGCATACAGGGGTGGAGGTGGGAATAATGTAGACTTAAATATCCCTGCTCTGTTATCTTGTGCTACATGTGTACCTTTTTTGCAAGGTAACTCATAACTATTGGGATTAGATCGTATATAAATATGCTAAGAAATTAAAATATTCTCATTGAGATGTAGAATGAGATTAAAAATAAGTGTGGATTAATCATCCCAAATGAGATTTTTCAAGAGGCAACTGGACTTTCTTTGTTTTTTTCCTTGAAGATGTTTCACTTCTTATCCAAGAAGCTTCTTCAGTTCAGAACTGAAGAAGCATCTTGGATGAGAAGCAAAACGTCTTCAAGGAGAAACAGAGGATGTCCAGTTGCCTCTTGAAAAATCACCTTTGGGACAACCATGACCTGGATGACTGAGAATCTCCATAGACAAGTGTGGATGAGACATCCAAGGATCCTGCACTTGGAATTCTGATGAAATTCCTTGCTGGAATCTCATTACATGGTAGAAGTCTTGTAGCTTGCACATGACCTCTAACAAAAAAAAAGACATATAAAAGTGCTGTAATGCAAGGAAATTAAAACTCAGAAATTCCTGGCCATCCAGATAGATCCATGTTATGCAAATCAAAGAGCTTGCAACTGAGATCCTTCTAAAGAAAAGTATCTTTCACACCCAAAACAATGTTTATTTTGATAAAATGTAAACCATCTTACTAACAACAGATGCGGTGATTTTCACAAAATATTTTATACTACCAATATGTAACTTTATTGTATGAATAGTCAGTAATTATGAGGGAGATAGGCAATTTAGAAATATGAAAAATAAACAATATAAATATCTCTAATTGAACTAATACCCTGTGGGATTATTGGGACTACAATTCCCAGATTTCCTGGCCATTCACATGAGGAACCCTGGGAATTGCAGTCACAATATATCTGGAAATCCTACACTAGGGGAAACTGCATTAATCAAATAGAGCAGGTATTTGCACATCTATCAGGTAATTTGCTTGTTTAACTAAATCTGTTTGCAAGACTGAACATACAATTAGATAATGTTTACCTGCTTTTTGCATTCTTGTTAGTGTCAGGTTTTTGTTACATTTTACTTCTTCCAGAGTTCGCAGTCCCATTCTGTACCATTTGTCAGATGTCTTCAGTCCAACTCCAAAAACAGAAGTAAAAAGCTATGTAGAGTAAAAATGTATTCAATTTAATAGTTTGTGGAGTGCTGGGCCAGTGCAATGCAGAATTTCATGTTTTCCCCTGAAATTTAATATAAATGCAAGCATTCCAGCCACACTGTAATTACTGTATTCTGAATGGCCACTTCAGCTAAGACTGTATGAAATATGAAGGAAATACATTACAGGTAATTATCATTTAACAACAGTAATTGGGAACAGAATTTTTGTAGCCAAGCAATGCAGGCACTTGATTACACCGCTTAATGATGGCTATTCCAGCACTTCCAGTTGCCATCATTAAGTGAACGCCATGCTGTCATTAAGCATAATGTCATGTGGTCACCATTTTCAACCTCCTATCATCTTCGCTGTTGACTTTGCTTGTCGTAAGCCGGCAGTGAAGTCAAAGTTGCAAATGACAATCATGTGACCATGGGACACTGCAGCACTGTCATTGCAAGCCAGTCATTAAGCATTCTGTCTAGCAATCGCATGACCAGGGAAATACTAAAATAATTATGAGGTCATACGAGCTGTGGAAAATTCAAATAGTTGCTGAATAATATATACCTAAATTTGGAAAGCACGTAGATTGCAACAAGCAGCAGCAAGTACTCCTATCCAATAATATTTGCTATAGATTGAATAGCAATGCAAATGTTACATTTATTAATAAAAGCGGGGAAGAACACAAAAGGTAACAGAGACTTTACTACACCACCGGGGAGGAGAGACAGAAGGGGCGTTGTGGTACCTGAACGCCTTTTCTCAGTACGGAGATGGAGAATCCACCGGTGGGTTTTCTCTGTCTGCCTGCTCCTGAGACCAAGTAGCCAAACTTTGACATGCCCCCTGTTGCTGTGAGACCCAGTCTTATTGAGGGCGAAAGCGGCTGATGTTGTACTAGGTATTGGCTCTCTAACCCCTAATAACGGCCTGACTGACCTAAGGGTGGGTGTGGATTCTCCATCTCCATACTGAGAAAAGGTGTTCAGGTAAGACAACGCCCCTTCTCCAGTACAGGAGATGGAGAATCCACCGGTGGGACATACCAAAGCCTCACTGTCCCAACGGGTGGGAATCAGGTAAGGCCGAATCCACGGTCCCCGCAATCACCTGTTGGAGGACCCTCCTACCGAAGGAGGCGTCAGCCGAGGCGAAGCGATCAATTTTATAATGGCGCACGAATGGGGAAGGTGAAGACCATGTCGCAGCCCTGCAAACCTCCTCGATGGATGCCTGAGTGGCCCACGCCGCAGAGGTTGCAGCGCTGCGAGTGGAGTGCGCCGTGATACGATCCGGAACTGGCTGGGAGGAGGACTTATACGCCTCCGCGATGCAGGCCCTAATCCACCTGCCAATGGTGGATGTGGACACCTGCTGTCCTAGAGAGGACGGACGAAATGAGATGAAGAGGGCCTCAGACTTCCGAAAGGGGGCTGTGCGTTTGATGTAGCGCTTTAATGCCCTGCGAACATCTAGCGTGCGCCACTGACGTTCCAGGTCGTGGGAAGGATTGGGAGAGAAATTTGGCAAGACGACCTCCTGAGTTCTGTGGAAAATCGAGTTGACTTTGGGTATAAAGGTAGGATCTAAGCGAAGGACCACCCAGTCCTGGTGGAAAATGCAGAGATCCTCCCTGATTGAAAGGGCAGCCAGTTCCGAGATACGTCTGGCAGACGTGATGGCTACAAGGAACGCAACCTTGAGAGACAAAGCCCGCAATGGTACCATGTTAATGGGTTCAAAGGGGGGTTTTACGAGTGCTCGAACTACCCGAGGGAGCTCCCAGGAAGGGTATCGGTGCACCACGGGAGGTTGAGAGTTGGATGCGCCTTTAAGGAAGGCGCGTATCATAGGATGGTGAGCTAAAGGACCCGAATTAGCACAAGACAGCAACGTAGACAGGGCAGCCACCTGCCTACGAATGGTGGCAGGTGCCAGTCCTCTGTCCAAGCCGTCCAGAAGATAGTCAACGATCTGAGGAATGGTTAGATTGTACATATCCAGTTGCTGTCTGCCACACCAATTGCAAAAACTTTTCCATGTGGAGTCGTAAATGCGATTGGTAGCAGGTCGACGAGCAGCCTGGATCAAAGAGATCGCTCGCGGGGAAAAACGTTCCTGTGTCATGATGCGGCGCTCAAGCGCCATACGGCTAACTGAAGCCACTGAGGGTCCGGGTGTTGAATGCCCCCGTTGTAGAGACACGCGACGTGGGGGAATCTGCCATGGGGAAAGGACGGAAAGGCTCATTAGGTCGGCGAACCAAGGCCTCCGAGGCCAGTACGGAGCCACAAGAACAATCTCCGCCCTCTCCAGTAGCAGCCTACGTATGGTCGCCGGAATGAGCGGGAGGGGAGGGAAGGCGTAAAGTAGGCCCTTCGGCCACGGAGTCCTCAAGGCGTCCGTCCCCTCCGCCCCCGGGTGGTAATATCGGGAGAAGAACCTGGGGAGCTGTGCGTTGTTCGGTGACACGAACAGGTCGAGGACCGGTAGGCCGAACCTTCATGTTATCTCTGAGAACAGGACCGGATTTAGTCCCCATTCCGAGGGATCTATCGTGGCTCGACTCAAAAAGTCTGCCTGTTGGTTCCTGTCCCCAGAGATATGTTCAGCCCTGAGGGAAGCCAGGTTGGTTTCCGCCCAGGACCCCAGTAGCCGGGCCTCGGCCATGAGGGACCTGGACCTGGTACCTCCCTGCTTGTTCACATGGGCTTTGGACGCCACGTTGTCCGTGAGGACCAACACGTGACGACCCTTGATGCAGTGGCTGAATTGACGGAGGGCTAGGTGGATGGCTCTGAGTTCCAGCCAATTGATGTTGTGTCTCAAGTCCGTGCATGACCAATGGCCCTGCGCAAACTGAGATTGTAGATGGGCACCCCAGCCGAATAGGCTGGCATCCGTCGTGATGGTAAGACGGTCCGGCTCCTTGAAAGGTGACCCCTTGGTCACCGCCCGTGAGAACCACCAGCATAGGGACCTCCGGGCGTGCATTGGGAGCTTCACCCGTCAGTTGGATGCGCTGATGTTCAATCGCTGGAACGGTAGGAGGAACCATTGGAGTTCCCGTAAGTGGAGCCTGGCCCAAGGGACAATGGCTATGCAGGAGACCATCTTCCCTAAGAGTTGGGATAACAAGGCCAATGTCACTACCCATTCTCGGTACACCCTGCGAGCTAGGTCCCTGATGCTGTCCAACCACTCCTGGGAGAGATAGACCACGCAGTTTGTGGTGTCTATGATGGCTCCCAGGTGCAGAAGTCTGGATGAGGGAACCGTCTGGCTTTTCTGGAAGTTCACCAAGAACCCGTGCTGTTGAAGGACCTGAATAGTTAGGGCGAGGTCTGTCTGAGCCGCCCGGAAGGAGGACGCCTGAATCAGAATGTCGTCCAGATAACACTGGATGCGTACCGGTACCTTCCGGAGGTGGGCGGCCAGCACAGCCAGGATCTTGGTGAACACCTTGGGTGCCGAGGAGAGGCCGACTGGAAGAGCCTTGTACTGGAAATGCTGGCCCCTGTAATAGAACCTGAGGAACTGCCGGTGGTCTGGAAGGATGGGGATGTGGAGGTACGCTTCTGAGAGGTCTATCGACGCTAGGAAGTCTCCCTCTCTGATGCCTCCCAGGATGGACTGAAGCGATTGCATTTTGAATTTTTTGTATGCAATGTAACGATTCAGACTTTTCAAGTCTAGAATCGCCCTCCATCCCTGAGGTTTTGGGAACCACAAAGAGAATGGAGTAGAATCCCCCGCCTTCGTGACCTGATGGTACCGGTTCTATGGCCTGAATGTCTATAAGATGACGAATGGCCTCCTGCATGAGTCCCCGCTTGATAGGATTCCGAGATGTGGGGCAGGAGATGAAGTGACCCGGCAGGATTGCCAGGAACTCTAGGGACAGACCTTGTTGTACTGTTTGTAACACCCATTTGTCCATGGTGGTGAGCTCCCACCGATGGAAAAAATGGGACAGCCTGCCTCCTATGGGAAGGGTAATATGAGAGTCACTTGGACTTCTTAAAGGGACGTCCTGTTCCTCGAAATGGTCGCCTATTCTGGGGCTGTTGCCTGGACCGAAACCCTGTTCTGTCTGAGGGGCGGTCATATGTGCGATCCTGTCTAGGCGTGAAAGGTCGAAATGGCTGGGCTGCTGCAAAGCCCGAATTTTGCCGAAAGGGCTGCCTCCTGGAATAAGGAGTGGGGCGTTTGTCGAATTGCTTGGTGATGTGAGCCATGACTTTCCGCTTATCCTTGTTTTCCACAAGGAAAGGGTTCAGGGCTTCACCAAAGAGAAGGTTCCCCTGGTAGGGGGTGGATGCAAGGCGCCATTTGACCTTGGCATCGGCCTGCCAGTGTTTGAGCCAGAGCATCCTCCTGGCTGAAACGTTGGAAGCCAAGGCTCGTGATGCAAAATTAGCCGACTGTAGAGTCGCGTCTGACGTGTACTCCGTAGCAGCCACCATTTTGCTTAAGTCTTGATGAGTCTGCACGTCCTCAGGAGGGACTCTGGTTTGCAGCTGCCGAAGCCATAAAAGAGTGGTTTGGACAAAAAAGGACGTGCACGTGGCCGTTCTGATGGCCCATGTGGTTGATTGATGGGTCTTGCGAAAGGTTAGATCGCATTTTCTGTCATCCTCCTTAAGGGCCTCCGCCAAATCCCCAGGCTTCATCTATCTGAGGTACCTCCAAGGCATCAGTGAGATCCTTGGAGGTGTGATATAGTTTCTTGTCCGACCCACTAATGGAGAGGGAGGCGGAAGGGGAAGGCCACTGTTTCTTTATCCCTGTGAGGAATATGTGAGGACAGGGAACATGATGCTGTGTTGCCTCGGTCGCAAAAAATATGGGGTCCGGACTCGCCTCGGCGGTAGCCTGTGGCTGAGGAAACTGATCGGACCCTATATTAGCCGTGGCAGTAGCCTTGCGGAGTAAGGAGAGAAACAAAGCTTGATTAAAAAGGCCACCTGAAGAGGGTTCCGGGGGAAGTACCTCATCCTCTGACCAGTCGAGTTCCGGCGGCTCCCCTCCCGTGTGGGATGAATAGCCGCTAATTGAGGAATGGTCAGGTGACGGAGGATCCTGAATCCAAAGGTCCCCCGCTGGCAGAGTTGGAGGAGGCATGGCTGGAGTAGAAGCCTCCTGCCCAGGCGCATGACAAGATCGTGCCACAAGCGCCCAGTCAACGACCTTGGAAAGTAGAGCCTCCAGGCGGCCGTCTGAAAATAAGTCTCCCAAATCTGGACCCCTGAGCCCAGCCGCCGTAGGGGTGAATGTAGCTTCCGGAACCGAGCCTGTGGTATAGGAAGGTGGGCCAGTACCTGCATGGTGTACTGTCGGGGTAACGGGGTCGACTGCCAGGGACCACACTCCCTGAGCCGAAGTGGATGGACCCAAGGGGAGAACGAATTCTGGGGCCACCAATTGATCCCTCTCATGCCTGGCCTGTTTTTGTGCCCTGGCAAATTCTTTTTCCAGAGCCTGGTGCCTACGGCTGGCCTGCTTCTCCGCCAACTTTGATGTCTTCTTCAGGGTGGCCTTGGCCTTATTTTTAAGCTTGCCCGCTGCCTCCTGTCCGGAGGATTTGTGCCGGCCGTGAGTTGATGACGGGGACGCGGTGCTCAGGAGCTGAGGCGCCGTGGAATCCTCCATCCTAGATTGAGCTATCTCAGGAAACCTGAGGGGGAGCTCTGGCAAGCAAGCGGATGGCGGGAAGATTGTTCGGAGCGAGTAACAAAGACTGCTCCCCTGACCACCCGACCTGACAAAAATCTCTCTGGGTTTAGGTCACGGTCACTAGTAAAGACCGAAGGCACGTTAGGGGCCCGCAAAGGCTCCGCCCGGAGGCCTTAGGTGGCCAGTCAGGGTGCCCCAGATATCCAATGAGGGCGTAAAGGCCTAAAAATGAGGCCTGGCACAGGCAATGTGACCTAAAATGGCGTCCTTGAATCAAGATGGTGGCCTGAGAATTTGGATGTATTGAGCCTATAAATGATGATGCAGCTAATAGGCCCTGAGCTAGAAAATATGCAATGTGACCAGAATATATGAAGGACCCTGTGGGAGACCCTGGGTCTGCCACCAGTACTGGAGGATTGATGGTACAGGCCTAGAGAAGGCCCTTCAATTCCTCAAGGTGGCCTTCACAGCGAGCCCCAGCCAAAAGTTCCTTGGCTGTCAAGGGCCAGTGGTGACCTAGATGCCAGGGAAAAATTCCTGTAAAGGGACAACTGCTCTCCACCCTTAGTCCGGATGATGTGGGGTGGCAAGGCTGGCCGTGTGGCGCTTCCAAAATGGCGGCCACGGTGAATCTATATAAGGTCACTCCGGACTCTAACCAGGGCTATGGCTTGAAGGCCTGTGGCCCCAAGAGAAAAGGACACGAAGCTCCACTAATCGGCTGGGGAATCCGTTTCCCTAAACCCAGGGAAGCTCTGCTGCTTATAAACTGTCGGCAGCCCCAAAATGGTGGCCGCGGCTTTCGGCCGTTGCAAACGGCTCGGAGGAGCGAAAATAAGAAGGGAAGATAAGACCGAGTGAGGCAGCAGCGCTGGGCGCTGCGCAGGGAGAAAAACGACGGGGGAATTAGCAAGGATTGCCCCCCTCTCCCCAGAGCCCTAGGGAGACAAACGACGACGGAGATATTTTCCCCCCCCCACACCTCCCCTAGAAAGCCTCAAATCAGCCGATTTGAGGCCACGCTGATCCCAGCGGACTGAGGGAAGGCTTTCCTTGGGGGAGTGAAACGTTTGGAAGAGATTCTACGAGAATCCGACAATGGGTCTCTGACCTGCAATTTTGATAAGATTTCTAATCCTGAGAGCCAAACCTTGAGACGTCTTCAAGAGCTTGAGACCAAGATAAGACTGGGTCTCACAGCAACAGGGGGCGTGTCAAAGTTTGGCTACTTGGTCTCAGGAGCAGGCAGACAGAGAAAACCCACCGGTGGATTCTCCATCTCCTGTACTGGAGAATTATGGGTTTGTAAGACATGTCTGACAATGAGTAACATCATCTAGGATCCAAATTAGAACCACTTTCTACCCATTGAAATACAACTGTCCACCATGGCAGGTCTTCCCTCTTTCTCTCCTAAAATACGTCCCCCCCAAAGGAGGTTTTTAAGCCTTTTCCCTTGTCCTTGGTTTTGGTAAAAATCATTCTCTAAGAGGTAGTTCTCTCCTTGGTCAAATAAATAGCAATAGCAATAACACTTAGATTTATATACCACCCCATAGTGCTTTACAGCACTCTAAGGGTGGTTTATAATGTCAGCATAGGTCCAATCTAGGTCCTCATTTTACTGACCTCAGAAGGCTGAGACAATCTTGACCCCTGTCAGGCTCAAACTTCAGGCTGTGGGCAGAGTTTAATCATTGCACCATAAGGGCTTCCAACCATAACGTTTTGTTGGTACTTTAACTACAGACTAGTTGGTCCTAGAAAGCTATTGAGAAAACAAAGCAATGATCTTCATACAAACTGGTATCTCGGAAGATCAATGCATCTATTATATATATGCCATCTTGTAAATAGATTGTTTCTCAAAGTTCCATTGCACGTAATGGAATACATTGAATTTTAGAACTGGCTGGAGAGTCCTATTTAAATCTTCCTTTCTGTTGAATCTCCAGGCTTTGAATTTGGGTTATGCTAATTTATCTTGTATTTCTAAGAAGATTATTTATTAATGCAAAAACAATAAAGAGAAGAATGATTTTGGAATGTGTATGGCTTGTCATTTCAGATAGAGCAAGTGAAATTATCTGCTCTTTGTGAAAAGCATGGTGCTTGTGAGGAAGAGCTATTATATTTTGTAATCTCATTTGTCAAAAATTACTTAAATTCTTATCTATTAATTCTCTAGTATTTTGTTAATAGGATCATGAGAATTCACAGAATTGTTATTAGCTCTTACATAATGGTCAGAATAAGGTTTCTAAAGCATGAGTTATTGCTGGCAGAAAAGGAAACAAAATTAAACTTTTCCATCACTCAGAAATATTATCTGCTTTTTAAAACACTGTCAGTAAAGTTAGATTTCTTCATGGCCATCTTCCAGTAGTAAATCACTTTATGTGCAATTAAACTTCAACTTAAACAAATTTACTTGGAAATCAGGCTTAAATGAGCCAACTAAGTGGACTTAAAATTAAGGCTAAATCCTGATGACTTATATGCTACTGTTAGCACAATTAGTAACAGATAAATGAAATGGTTAATTAATTAATTACTGCACTTGTATCTTGTCGCATTCAATAGATGCTGGGCAGTTGAAAAATTATTCATTAAATGTGTTGATTGCTGTTCATTAAGAACAAAGAACAGCATGGATTGCAACTGCATGAATTCAACAAGTAGGTTTTCAGAGCAGACTCTTGAGTGTGTGTGATCTATATTTGACCATCTGGATCAAAGCTTCTTCAATGTCCAGTGGCTCAGATCCATGACACGGACAAATGTTTATTATAGGTTTTATATCTAATCTTTCATTTGGAAACTGAAATTTACTTGCGTAGGATCTTCCCTCATTTTATGATCACTACAACAATCCTGTTGGTCAGAGAAATAATGAGACATCTAAAAATCACTCAATATACCCCACATGGGGGGTTGTTGTTGTTGTTAGTTGTGAAATCGTGTCCGACCCATCACGACCCCATGGATAACGTTCCTCCAGGTCTTCCTATCTTCTACCATCTTCTGGAGTCCATTTAAGCTCACGCCTACTGCTTCAGTGACCCCATCCAGCCACCTCATTCTCTGTCGTCCCCTTCTTCTATTGCCCTCAATCTTTCCCAGCATTAGGCTCTTCTCCAGTGAGTCCTTCTTTCTCATTAGGTGGCCAAAGTACTTGAGTTTCAACTTCAGGATCTGGCCTTCTAAAGAGCAGTCAGGGTTGATCTCCTCTAGGACTGACCGGTTTGATCGCCTTGCAGTCCAGGGGACTCGCAGGAGTCTTCTCCAGCACAATAGTTCAAAGGCCACATGGGGGGAGAGGGGGTTAAATTTGAATGCCAGATTTCCATTCATTTGGCATAATAACTCAATCACACCCACTTTACATTACATTTCTGTAGGACATCCAGCAGAATTTTCAGATGCCCAATATTCATTACAAGTAGTCCTCGACTTACAACAGTTTGTTTAGTGACCGTTCGAAGTTACAATGTCACTAAAAAAGTGACTTATGACCATTTTTCACACTTCCAGTCATTGCAGCATTCCCATGTTCACATGCTCAAAACTCAAATCTTGGCAACTGACTCATATTTATGATGGTTACAGGGTCCCGGGATCTTGTGATCATCTTTTGCGACCTTCTAACAAGCAAAGCCTTAACAACTGTGGCCAGAAAGGTCGTAAAATGGGGCAAAACTCATATAACAAATATCTCACTTAGCAACAGAAATTTTGGGCTTAGTTGTGGTCATAAATCGAGGACTACCTGTACACCATATTGAATAATGTATTTGGGATGACAGCTTTCAGAATTCAAAACCAGTTAGTTTACTTGAAGGGCACCCGATTTAGGAAGGAGGACTGCAACTTTCTTAGCCACTGCACAGTATTTCCTTCTCAACCAAACTAAGGTTAGATTTCCTTTTTTCTTATAATCTGATCTGCAGACTCAGAGGAAGAAATGCAAAGAAAACTTATATACACCCCTTGGCAACTGTCAGAAAGAAAAGCAGAAACCAACTTACTTTAATTGATCTGTAGTTTTCATTGTTTTGCACTGCTTTCACTTTAGAACTCTCCCCTTCTTCTAATATATCCTGAATACATAGGAGAGACATATTTGTGCAGGTTTATACACATTTCTGTGGTATTTATGTTGCAATCTAATTACTTCTAATAGCCTCTCAGTGCTTAAGCAGTCCTGTTTTTAAAATTCAGGCTGAACTCTTACACTTACTTAGTGTTGTTGGTTTTGTTAGAAAATAAGCATGCTAGGCATTTTTTTTTTTAAATGCTGCTGAGCTTTTATTGTTGCACAATAAACTGAAAGGAGAATCTGAACAGCGGTTCTAGGCAGCATTTAATTATAGTGTCCCCCTCCCCTTCCTTAACATCCATCCACATTGCAGAGAGGAAAATATGTCTGTTGCTAAAAATGATCAGGGGAAGGGGCTGTTTTGCAAATTCTCTTTAATTTTAATGCTTTGGTACAAAAGTGATTCCTAGAGACTCTCAACAAAAATTAACACAATGAAATGATCTTGTTTCAAAAAGATAACGGGAGGGATTTATAATGTTTCTCACTAAGTGGTGGGAGGGATGTTATTGCCTTGAGACAAAGGCTCTCCCTTGTACCAGGAGAGAGCTAAACTATGTGTTTGAGGTGTAACATGTTAAATATTTTCTTTCTTATGTCAGAGATCAGGCCTAGATCAGAACCCCAGCATTATGTTTGCATAGGCCAGGGTATATTTTATTGTTCTCTCCACACCCATCCATATAGTTTTGAACAAGATGAATACCTGTAGTCCCCGACTCCTGTCCTAAGTTGGGACCAGATTTACCCTTGCTAAGCAAGGTGGAGCTGCAACTGATTTTATGACCATGTTTGGGCCATGTTTGGTAAGCCAACCATTGCAGTTGAGTGAATCACATGGTTGTTAAGCAACTCCAGCTTGCCTTATTGACTTTGCTTGTCGGAAGCCAGCTGGGAAGGTCACAAATGACAATCACATGACCCTGGGATGCTGCAACCATTGTAAATTCAGTGCTGTTGTAACTCTGAACAGTCGCTAATGAATGATTGTAAGTCAAGGACTACATGGGCACAGGGAAGTAAGTCATTGATGTGTGTCTCTGAGTGGGAATGCTTTAAAAAGCACTAGATGACACCTCACAGAACATACCTCGATTATTTCTTTGACCCGTTCTCCCATCCAGGGCAGCCCTTCAATGTCATTCACTCGAACTACAGTGAATGGAAGACCCTTCAGCACAGAAGCTGCTCTTCCAAATGCAAGGCAAAACTCTTTATTTTCATTGAATTCATAGTTTTCAACGAGGATTTCAAATGCATCCTTGACACGGTGAAGATAGAAAACAGAGAAGAATTAGGAAATATTTAGTGCATCCAGAAAGTTTAACATTTGTAAGCAAATGAACAAATATCTTATTATACTTATTATTAATAATAACAATTCTTAATTATTATGATAAATATAAAACACAGCTGCTAAATATTTCGTTCATGGATATCCTTAATACCATATCCTGTAAAGATGTGTTGTTTTAGCGTTCATTATCCAGAGAATGCTGACATATAGAACATAGACCATAGAATAACAGAGTTGGAAAGGACCTTTGAGGTCTTCTAGTCCAACCCCCTACTTGAGCAGGAGACCCTATACCATATCTGACAAATGGCTGTCCGATGTCTCCTTGAAAGCCTCCAGTGTTGGGGTGCGTACAACTTCTGAAAACAAGCCGTTCCATTGGTTCATCTCATATTAGGAAATATTTCTTTAGTTCTAGTTCTAATTCTCGTTGATTAGTTTTCATCCATTATTTATCTTGCCTTCAGGGCTTTGGAAAATAGTTTGACCCCTTCATCTTTGTTGCAGCCCTTCAAATATTGGAACAGAATCTGGATAAATATATAGAATATTTATTGAGACGTAGAATCTGGATAAATTTCCAGAGCCTAAAAAAAGTAAAATAATTGCTACCTTGTTGAAGACTCTGCCCCAAGCCTTTTTTTCAAATATATCTTTTCATGAAAGTGTCTTAGTTTGAAGCAATTGAAGATAATAGTTTAAAGCAGAGTCAGATTCCAAAATTGGAAATAAACCTGGCTGAAATTTAAAAGAAAGAATTGATGTAGAATGTCCATGGATGGGTCTGCAATATGGTGGATGTTACAGTCCAAGCCCCCTTCTTTTGAATATGCATATAATACAATCACACATACCAAAGGGGCAGAGCTTGGACCATGATGCCACAACTGCTGTCTTGCAGATTCTGTTATCCTCCACTTTGAACACCACAGGCTGGGTACCAATTTCAGGAACAATTTGGAAGAAGACATTGCCTAAAGACATTTAGGCAAGAAAAACAAAATGCACAGGTATAGTATAGGTCAGGGATATCAAACTGTTGGCCCACAGGCCAGATGCGTCAAGCCGAAACTGCACCTACCCCATTGGCAATGGAGAAAAAGTCGTGATACATCGCGACACGTCACGTGACATTGTGAGTTTGACACCCCTGGTATTGATGGTACCTTGCTCAATAGTATTAACTGTGAGAGGGATCTTGGAATCCTAGTGGACAATCACTTAAAGATGAACCGACAGTGTGCTGCAGCTGCCAAAAAAGTCAACACAGTTCTAGGCTGCATTAACAGAGGGATAGAATCAAGATCACGTGAAGTGTTAATACCACTTTACAATGCCTTGGTAAGGCCACACTTGGAATACTGCATCCAGTTTTGGTCACCATGATATAAAAAAGATGTTGAGACTCTAGAAAAAGTACAGAGAAGAGCAACAAAGATGATTAGGGGACTGGAGGCTAAAACATATAAGGAATGGTTGCTGGAATTGGGTATGTTTAGTTTAATGAAGAGAAGGACGAGGGGGGACATGATAGAGAAGGACGAGGGGGGACATGCCACAAAGAAGAGGGAGTCAAGCTATTCTCCAAAGCACCTGAAAGCAGGACAAGAAGCAATGGATGGAAACTAATCAAAGAGAGAGGCACTAAGGAGAAATTTCCTGACAGAATAATTAATCAGTGGAACAACCTGCCTCCAGAAATTGTGAATGTTCCAACATTGGAAGTTTTTAAGAAGAGACTGGACAGCCATTTGTCTGAAATGGTATAGGGTTTCCTGCCTGAGCAGGGGGTTGGACTAGATGACCTCCAAGGTCCCTTCCAACTTTATCATCATCATCATCATCATCATCATCATCATCATCATTATACAGCTCCACATTAATATAGCTTTTGAACATTTCAAATGTCACCATTTGTTCTGGATTTGCTGGATGTACCTTCCTTTTCCCCCCTCTGGGAAGATTGTACTAATAACTCTGATAAATGTAATATGGATATGTATTGATTTGCCAAACCCAGAATAAGTGGCTGTATGAAGTGGTGCAAAATTATTGCAAAAGTGAATAAATAGGTTTTATGAGCACTTCTGTGGTTCATAACTCTGTAGAAAGGGAGATAATATTATCTTTGCAAAAGGCAGAAGGGAAAGGAAAGTGCAGCAAACAGATCAACCACCTGTAGTTTGCAGTGATTTCCCTAAACAGCAGCAGTACTGAAGCATTAGAAACAATATCATTTCCTGGTCCTATTTTCTTAGCTCCCCTAAGCTGCCACAGAACCCAGCAGAAGGAACTGCATCTCTGTCTCCTCCCTGACTTATTTGATGGAAATTACTTCTGCCCATCATCTCCAATGTGTAAAAACAAAAACAAAAAAAGCCCAAAACTTATTTGTCTAACATCTGATTGAGTATATTTCCAATCCAGGGGCAACTGTTCCTGCAATTTTTGTCATCTTTCATAAACTGATAAAAAAAAATCTAGCTCCATAACTGTGTGTCTATTCCTCTAAAAGTAAGTATCTTTCAACAGCAACAGATTTTTTAAATGGTAATGAAAGTGAGTCAGATTGAGGCCCATACAAGAATTTTAAAAAATAAACTTATTAGTATTTTAGACAAATACAGCAAATTCAGACTTGATAATAAATAAAATAGAAATTCTGAAATCCCTGTGTGTGCTAAAATCTTCAGGTTTTAGAAACTTACAACATAGCACATGCTCTAAACATACTTATTTACAAATATATATATGGAGAACACTTGCTTATAAAGTTGCCAAGATTTGGACATGACTTTTGTTAAAACAACCATTTACTAGCAATATGTACATATGTATACAGTACACATATGTATATATTGCTAGTAAAACATTGGTTGGAAAAAGTGTGTATACTAGGAAAGGCATGTAGAAAAACATATATGAATATCAACATCATTAACAGCAGGGCTGAACATAATTGAGAATTATTGAAATGAGAGCTAAAGACAATACTGACAGAATCACAGATACTTCACAGTATCAAGATTGTTTGTTTGTTCACAGTTAAAGTAAGAAAACTCAAAATAGATTCTCTGTACAAGAGGAAACCTAACAGCCATTGTTCGCACTGACAACATAATGTGCTGTCTCAGTCCAATAAACTTGCTATCTTGGCAAATGAAAGTTAGAAGAGATGTAGTTGCTAAGATAACATCTATTTCCTGCCTTACTCTCTTTTAAAAAGCCAGTTTGGGTCACCTAGATACAGGAAAGGCTCACAAACATCAAAAAATGCTTGTTACTTAAAATACTGGACTAAACTGCATTATTTT